TTAACATTTTAAATTTTATTAAACTAGTAAAAAATGTTTAGTTCTACAAATAATGGCGACTGAATCAAATAGAACAGTATTCAACTTGGTATGTGAAATCGTAGAATATTTTGCACACCCTTTGAATTTGGCAGTTGCAGAATTTCCCTGGGACACATACTTCTCCATATGGGCTTCACATGTTTTCTAGAGAAAGCTTCTGGGCCATCATCGTGAAATATTTTTTTTAATTAAGCCATCATAGCAAGTGTTGTACTTCATTTGTTTTTTGCAAAGCAGTTGTAGGGTTCACATATCTCTATTTTCAAGAGATATGAAGTGAATGAATGAAAGTATAGTTAGGCAGCTAACTGAATGATATAATGACCTGTATGGACTATGACCATTGGAAGGGTGGAGCGTGTGTGGACTTACAGGCTGTTAAGGGTAGATAGACAAATATGGCTGATTGTGTGTAAGTATTAGGGCATGTCAGTTCAGATTAAATACCAGACAAAGATTACAGGCAGCAGTCCTGATAGATGTGAACTGTTGGAAGCAGTTCAAGCTGGAAAAGAAGTGGTGTATTTAATTGTGACACGTTTGTTGAAACTTTGAAAACCACGAAAATTTCTCGAGCAGGCAATGTTAAGTGATGTTTTTGATGACTGTGACATTGCACACTGTCAGTCTGCACATGTGTCTGTTTCCTTATATATTTTCTACCAATTCACTAACAAAGATAGATGGCAGTTAACTCGCGTCCTGTTCCCTGTCTTATGCAAGTGTCATTCTGCACTTTATTACCTTAGAAGTACTTGCTGCTAGGCAGGTTGGTATAACATTATTAGGGAAAATTCTAGACGATGCGAAATGTGTGGTGCAGTGTAAATATTTTCTGTAGTTCAGCTGCGACCGATGCTCTTTTTCTGTGCTTTTTCATTTTTCCAGTGGTGCTTAGGCATCTATAATTTTCCCCCTTAGCTTAATTACCTCCCTGAAGCTATGCATCATCTTGCCCATTAACAACCATTGTTAACTATTGTATGTGGCATTGTTGATGCAAAATGACCTTAGAGTATATGCTAAAGCTCCTGCAGGATCACCGGCTGAATGTGACAACCAGTTCACCATTTATAGGACCCAAGTATTGACATGTTCAATATATCTGTTCGCACAGTGCTCATTGGAGTCATGCAAGCTTAAAATATGGTGCTCCCACAGAGAAATTTTTCTTCCTGTGCTGTGACCAACGGGAAAACTATGTAGACAATAATGAAAAGAGATCACAACTAGGCTTAGCTGTGTGATGTCTGCCTCAATAAAAATGTAATAAATTAATGCAAGTGTGCTTATATCACCATGGTGTTGCCAGTTTATTACTACATTTGATATGAATCTCTGCTCGCTCCACCATGGTGTTCCTAAGGGTGTACACAGTCTTACCTCTGAGACAGCATTGCCAGAACTAATTTCACTGTCACAATCTTGAACAGGTGTGCAACAAGCATGCGCCAGTGCATAGAACACAAGAGAAGTGGTCACTGCTTGCATGTTCAAGGTCGTATGCACGCACACCGGACTATGATTTTGCAGTGTCTTACATTTTGAGTGGAGTATACATCGTGATGGCGGGAGCCATCTCTGTGGTCACCAGCTAGACTGCCACAATGTGCATATTGTTGCTTCAGACAACTGTTTAGGACAAAAAAGGGCACCGTAGAAAAAAATATTTTTAGGCTAATGTAAGAGCTTGTGGTGAGGAGACTCTCAAAAGGTATATGGTTTGTCATCTTGCAATAGAGAAGCAACATTTATACCTAGTTTATGTTAGTAGGAGTCTGCTAAACATTGGCCATACAAGCTTGTGGCTAGAGAAGGATGATGTCCAGAAGATGCCCTCCTGAAATGTTAACCTGCACCGTCCTCCCTTGCCCTTCTTGGTGCACTAAAATTTTTGCCCTATAGGTACTAATTCCTTTAGTGGGTACTCTTGAAGGGCTTCTGAATAAGCTCACTCTTACCACCTGCTTTACCCAAGGGCAAATCCTACTGTTGGAACTTGTTTGCTTGGCAGAAATTTTTAACAGGAAAAGAAGCTTCACTCGTTACACAAATAAAGCTACAGCATTGCAAGATTACTATGATGTTATGTACACAGACCTCCCACATACAACTAACTAAAATCTCACCACTTACCTCTATGGTGAGCCTGATTATGCCTTAAGACAGCATGTAAGTTTCTTGATCCTATACTTTTAATCAGTACATGAACCTTGAAAAAAACAAGATCATCACGTGCAGTGCATAAAACCAGTGCTTATGAAGTGCAATGATGCCATCGGAAGCATCAGCGAAAGTAAATGCACCCTGCTGGAAAGCAAATTCTGCATGAAGCCTGTAAATGTACTGTTAACAAAGTCTTCTCGACAACTTCATTATGTCTATTTCTGCAATTTGCATAATCCTGTTTCATACATACCTTGCTGCTCACCCTATAATTATTGACCTCTGAGTGTTACTCAAGTGACCATGTGCATTTAACATACCTGCAAGCCTCAGTGCTAACCTAATGAAATTGGAGACTTTAATAAAGTAATGCTCTCTAATGCTCACCCCTTCAAAAAAAGTTTTTAGCATCCCCTGAAAACCTATTCCTTAAATATTTGATCATCAGAGATGCGATGTATCTCCACACCTGATGACAGACATTTGTCCAATTACAGCCACATTATAACAACAAGCAGCCTTTGTAAGATGCGTGAACACGTGCCATCATCTCAGGTCAACATGTTTCCTGAAACCAGCTTGCTCTTAGTTATGCGACAGAATGGTTTTCATAAATCATTTTCTTGCTAAGCTCAACTTGCCCCATGACAAACTGTGTGTTTAATTTAGATCATTCTTGGGGAGCTATTTTTCTTAATAACTAAAGAAAGCCCGATAAAGTGAAGCATGAGCTTTTAAAAGGAAATTTGCAAAACATGCACAATCGTCTCCAATACCTAGCCTGAGTATATATTTCACTAATAATGATCATTTTCATTTTAGAACACATATCTGATGGCACAAAATCTGGAGTATCAAGGAGTCTGTCACAGGTATCTTTCACTTCTTTATTAGGGGCCATGCAACAATTTTAAATTATTCATGCGATATACTAGAAGTTTACTGCAGTGTGAATCACTTGCCACAATTAAAAAAAATAATTATGGGGGGAACATATGGACTCTTTACAAAGGTTGAAGTTGGTGCTGATGCCGTCTGTCGCATGACCAGTAATGAGACAAAGCACGGCGCATCGCATTAGGCCTAATAGCAGTGCTACGCTTCCATTTCACACACACACACACGCGCGCACAATGTATGCTTTACTGCAATACACTGCAAGCACTTCACCCCATGACACTGGTGTATTGCGGCAATGTTAACTTTTAAAAAGACCTTTACGGGTTAGCAATTGAAGCTCGACAATGCTCCCAGCAATGAAATTTCTATTTTATTACATTTTTTTCACTGTTATACACTTGCCTAAACTAGTGTTACCAGCCGTCCCGAATTTCGCTGGACTGTCCAAGACTTTGCCCGCGCTGTCCCAGTCGGGACAAATGTCCCCGATTTTTTCCGGACTGTTCAGTAAATGAAAAAAAAAAAAAAAACGTTTTGCGTTATAAAAGGCATGCCAAGTAACGAGCGTCCGTCTGATCACATAGACAAAGAAATATTGCTGTGGTTAGCTGCAAGGAACTTTAAAACACTTCAGCTGAACTTTAGCGTCAACTTTTACTAGAGCATTCTAGAGCGAGAGGAAGTGTCACGAAGAGCACATAGCAAAATTTAGTGCCACATCAAGAGACCGACGCAATGAAGAGAAGAAATAACGGATTTGTTTGGAAGGCACCGCAACAAAGAAAACTAATTTCCTCACCCACACACAACTACCTTCACTGTTGGTTACCCCAATCTAAACACACACTGCTAAGCAAACAAATTGCCATCATCTGCGACTGCTTAATAAGCCACTCGGACAAGAACGTTCTCTAATTCCAACTTGTGCATTCCGTATCTATCTCGCGCACTTACGCAAGAACAAGCTTCAAAAGCGTTGGCACAGTATATACTTCCTCCCAAGTGACACCAGCTGTTTGATCGGTCCTCAAGCAACACGCATGCACCTACCATACATCCGCGTAGTACATGCATCAGACCAACATTCACAAATCGCGTTCCAAAGGTCTTTATTTTATGCTCGTTGTCATTGCTTGTAGATTTGGTGGCAAACACTTCGGGCTGGTAGGTGTTAATTATGTGCTTCGGGCGAATGACGTTAACTACTCGATAAGCACGGATAAGAACCTCCTGAACACGGCGACATCACAGGAATTAGAAAAGCGGCAGCGACTTGCGTATGAATCACTTTCTAACAACAGAAAGCGACCACGACCCCACGGGCAGAGGCGCTTCTCGCCATTTCAAACAGATTACAGTCCAATCCAACACCAACATCGGAGAAAAAAACATCACGACTAGAATACGATGAACCCGCCACAGACTGTGTGTCACAAGCTAGTGAGGAACTCTACCTGAACCACAGAATAAAGAACGCCCAAATCGCCTGAAAAATGTTTTCCAACACACCGATTCTAACGCCATCTATTCATACACTTTAAGTCAAGTCAAGCCGGTTTTAAGCGGCTATTGGGTGAACCGAACGCTTTTGCCTCGAAAAGGTTCGTGCCACCGGGGGAACCGAAACACTTCCCCGGTTCCAATTGGGGCACGTGAATCGAACGGTGACTGAAAACACCAATCACAACTAAGCAAACCTAGTGCAGATTAGTGAATAAAACTTGCTGTTGAACCTGAACGAAAACAAGGCTTTTGATAGTTGTAACAAAAACTCAGAGATAACTAATTTCTGACACCTTTGTTTATAAAATTTAAAATTATAAAACACAAAAGTCAATAATATTTATTATAAAAAAACGTTGTTTTGTTTTTTTTTCTTGTATTATACGCCGTATGTGGAGTAGTTCGCAACTTCGGCTGAAGCAGTTACACCGTACTAATCTTTCACTTGCGTCATTTCCTCTTCGCTCTTTTCCCAGCCATCTTGCGAACGGCGACATGGTGAGTCTCGCTGATTTGGCTATTATTTAATAACATGCTCCGGCTGTAAAACTTAAATATTGATAAATTAACAATGCTGAGATGCTGTCCTTTAATTTGTGTGCTGTTGTGTCCTTCGATGACTTATCAGTCGCGTTGATATTCTCAGGCTGCCCACAAGACGTTCCGGATAAAACAGAAGCTCGCCAAGAAGCTCAAGCAAAACCGGCCGATTCCTCAATGGATCAGGATGAAGACCGGTAACACCATCCGGTAAGTCATGTAACGTGTCGTGATTTCGTCTTTGCATACGTTGTCGATGCCTGTACAGCCTCCGATTGTTGTGCTTGTCGTTGGTCGACACCATGCCTTACATTAAACACATCAGTAGAACGTGGAGTGATGGTCATGTGATTCTTCTCTTGCGTAGTAGCCTGCCAAATCACCCTCGGGTTACATTCGGATCATCAGTGTCGTGTCGGCGCGCAGCATACTATGTGAGAAGTGGCTGAATCAGAGTTCTCAACTTTAAGACCTCAATTTTGGAAGTCCACATTTTGGAATGCGCGGTTTAACTGCAAACGAGTGTTTTCCAAGGCGCATGCAGGCGGAGAATGTTGAGACAGCATGCACCACTGAACTCGTGCTGCACAATTTCTGAATTTTGAGTGCACAGCCGTGAACCGGTTCTGATTGGTGCAGGTGAACCGAATGAACTCATTGCTAAAAAAAAAAAAAGGAAAACGTTTGGTTTTCTGATATTGCGGTGCACCACTGCACAGACTCCTACTGACGACTGCCTGCATGCAAGCCTGTTTGCGATGTCTTGCGCTTAGCCCACCCTTCTATCCCAAGAATCTCCGCCTGCATGGCTTGAAAAACACTTTATCGCTTGTAGTTCAACCATGCATTCCAAAATGTAGACTTTCCTCAAACAGCTGTTGTAGGCGAGAACTCGTGACGCCATCTCACATACCTCAGGCACGCCGTTTTCAACGAGAATGACGGCTTGGATGCAAAGGGCGGTCCTACAACTGGCATTTCATTCAGAATCTGACGTCTATACGAGAATCATTCTCTGTGAGCTATTGATTAATCTGTCTATTCGCTTGGCTACTAGAAAGCAGTTCAAAAGTGGTGTGTGCTCTTGGCTTTTTGAAACCATGTTCACTGTCACGTTCCCAGCAAAGCGTCAGTTGCGAGACAATGGCAGGGGTGGAAGTGCTGTTCCAATTGCTCCAAACTGCTCTTAAAGAGAAATGCTGCTCCAAAATGCAAGATTTGCTAGTAACTGCTCTAAACCTGCTCCGAAAGGATGTTGGCAAACTATAAAGAAAGAACTTGAACCATAGCACCATCCCGTGAGCAAGATGTACACTCTCACCCTAGTATACTACTTAGTGGCGTAAATCCAGAAAAATCACATATCAGGCCATGGTGTCCAATTTTGTATTTTTATCATGAGTTGCATTTTTATTTATATAGCAATTAAATTGTGCTTTCAAATAAAAAAAACAAGCATGGGGTCTGCGCTTGAGCAATGGTATTGTTCTATTTAGTCTTTTTTTTTTTTTCACCCTTTTTCAATTTCCATAGTTCACACAGCTGATGGGCATTTAACACAGGTACGCATTAAAAGATGAAAAGTCTTTAAAATGAGTTGATTGTGCTATACTTAACTGCTAACTCAATTATATTACGTGCTAAATCTCAAGTGGGACACTTGCAAGGGGGGTCCTTCCAGCCTGAACACCATAAAAGTCCGAACTCTTTTGATCCCCACGCCCATGATTTACACCAACTATACTCCTTGTATACTAGCTGCATACTAGCATATGGCATGTTTAATAATAAATATAAATATTTATTAGATGCTTAATTGATCCCCACCGCAGTGGTCTAGTGGTTAAGCTACTCGGCTGCTGACCCGCGGGTTACGGAATTCAATCCCGGCTGTGGTGGCTGCATTTACGATGGAGGTGGAAATGTAGGTCCGTCTCCTCAGATTTGGGTTCACGGTAATGGTGCATACAGACGACGAATCGAATCCCGGTGTGGCGGGACGGACGGCGTGTCACGTGACCTCATATCAGCGATTCCCCTCGTCCGCGCGGCTCGCGGACGGATGAACCCAACCTGTTTCTCACATCGGGATTCTGGCGGGGGAGAGCCGGTACTTCAGCGGAATAGCTTGGGGTCGGTGGCAACCAGTACACTTTTCGTCTGCTCGCGGCATGTCCTCCATGGCTCGCGGACAGCTGCATGACTGGTCGGCATCATCTACACTTGAGCATTGTTTACTTAGTTTCTGGAGACTTTGTTCTCAGGTGATTAAATATGCAGAAATCACGTTTGGTGGTTCGGGAAATGTCGCCGTTGTCGCTTATGGTGCATTCAGACGACGGACCGAATCCGGATTTGTCGTGGACGCGGACAGCTAATCCGCGGATGGTTCGCCTGCAGGCGCATCCACACGACGGACGGTGTCCTAGGGGAAAACAGCCGGATTACCCTCGACAGCAGATTCGGCGCTCACCTGCGCCCGCTGGCAGCAGACCGGTTTGAGAGTATTCAACATGGATGCCCGCAAGAAGCGAAGCTTGGCTGCGATGTCTGTCGTGTTGTGACAAATGAACCAGTAGTGTTATTCTTTCAGGAGAAAGGGGAGTTGCTAGCAGGATATTCTTTCAACTACATATTCCCCACTTGTAGAACTTCTAAACGTGTCTCGCGTCTTTTTTTAGAAGCGGCACGTCGCCGGTTGCAAAAGTTAGAATATTTCACCACCATGACGGCTAAGATTAATCTCGCGTGTTGAGCGACGGCGGCGACATTTCCCGAACCACCAAAAGTGATTTCTGCATATTTAATCACCTGAGAACAAAGTCTCCAGGAACTAAGTAAACAATGCTCAAGCGTAGATGATGCCGACCAGTCATGCAGCTGTCCGCGAGCCATGGAGGACATGCCGCGAGCAGACGAAAAGTGTACTGGTTGCCACCGACCCCGAGCTAATCCGCTGAAGTACCGGCTCTCCCCCGCCAGAATCCCGATGTGAGAAACAGGTTGGGCTCATCCGTCCGCGAGCCGCGCGGACGAGTCGCGGACGAGGGGAATCGCTGATGTGAGGTCACGTGACGCGCCGTCCGTCCCGCCACATCGGGATTCGATCCGTCGTCTGAATGCACCATTAACACGCGAGATTCTTAGCCGTCATGGTGGTGAAATATTCCAACTTCTGCAACCGGCGACGTGCCGCTTCTAAAATAAAAAAAGGCGGGAGACACGTTTAGAAGTTCTACAAGTGGGGAATAATGTAGTTGAAAGAATATCCTGCTAGCAACTCCCTTTTCTACTGAAAGAATAACACTACTCGTTCATTTGTCACAACACGACAGACATCGCAGCCAAGCTTCGCTTCTTGCGGGCATCCATGTTGAATACTCTCAAACCGGTCTGCTGCCAGCGGGCGCAGGTGAGCGCCGAATCTGCTGTCGAGGGTAATCCGGCTGTTTTCCCCTAGGACACCGTCCGTCGTGTGGATGCGCCTGCAGGCGGACCATCCGCAGATTAGCTGTCCGCGTCCACGACAAATCCGGATTCGGTCCGTCGTCTGAATGCACCATAAAGGACCCGGGGGGGGGGGGGGTCGAGATTTTCGGAGCCCTCCACTACAGCGTCTCTCATAATCGTATGGTGGTTTTGGGACGCTAAACCCCACATATCAATAAATCAATTAGTTGCTCAAGTGATGTTTTAGACTTCAGGAGTCGTTGAAAACATGCATGTGTTTCGAAAATGCCAATAGCAACCCTAAGCTATAGCATTTTTTTCTGCTTCATTGATTGATTGATATGTGGGGTTAACGTCCCAAAACCCCCATATGATTATGAGAGACGCCGTAGTGGAGGGCTACGGAAATTTTGACCTTCTGGGGGTTCCTTAACGTCCACGCAAATCTGAGCACACGGGCCTACAACATTCCCGCCTCAATCGGAAATGCAGCCACCGCAGCGGGGATTCAATCCCGCGACCTGCGAATCAGCAGCCAAGTATCTTAGCCACTAGACCACCGCGGCGGGGCTCTTTTTTTTTTTTTTCTGCTCCAGAATCTGTTCCAAATAGCAAAATGTCGCTTTCATCACTACAATGGTTGTCCTTAATCATTGCTTCATCATGCTATCCCTTACTGTAAACCTTGACTGGCTTGCTTAACTTTTGTCTGTGGAGTATTTCTTCATTGTGGCTGCACTTTCCTGCCTTACTACTCCAGCTGTGCAATTTACTTTTATCTAATGGTGCTTCCATTTTTAGTTCAGCCCAGGCACTCCTGTCATATGTCATATAATGTCATATGTCTCACTATCATAATTAGCGGAGGCAACCAAGGTTGAAGTTTCATTCTTAAATTTCGTGCCGAAATCTGTCCACATGACATTAAAAATTTCAAAATGTATTTTTCATATTTTTGTGACATTGGCTCGAAATTTCCTGAAACTTCATATGCTGGGTCAATGATATGGACGTTTGGTACGAGAGTCCCAAGGTGGTGTTGCATTTTTTTTTTTTTTCACGCGTTTTCTCTTTTACCAAGGGTTATGTGGCGGTGAGCATGGTGTTTTTGGCATTGGAAAATGTACTTTACTAATACACAAGAAATCATTTTTTTCTTCTGTGTTTCTTTAACGACTAAATTGGGAAAGGGCCAAGGAAAACAAGTTTTATTCTCCATGATTGAATAGCAACCTTTGAATCTGGAGAACTAAAATGCAAATTCGATGCATACGTCAGATATGTCGTGAATTAGTGACGTGCGATCAGACTGAGGATTTTGCAACATAAAAACGTACCTCAGAACTACATTACTTGTTGTGGGCCACCTCTTGGGTGCATACACACATGGAAGAAAAAAAAAAGTAATAGAAGACTGAACCTGTCTTACTCACGCCGAAAGCTACACAACACTTAATTCTAGCAAAAAATACTGTACATGAAATGGCACTAAATGTTGCATGCTGAAAGCTATATTCTTCTTTAGTACTTCACAGATGGCATTGAAAACAGCTCGCATTTTGTGACTTGCCTGCTGGGAGTTTTTCGGTGTGTTGCAAATTTGCGATGCTTATTTATTTATTTATCACATACTGCGGACCAAGTATGGTCCATGCAGGAGAGGGCAATACAGTTCAAAATTCTTCTACATACATACACTTCCGCTGCAGTATACATTCACTGCAGAACAAAATTCATGTACATTAAAAATTCGTGAAAAACAAGGGACAAATACAGGCAAAGAAACAGACTTAAGCGACAAGAAAGGGGTATAGTTTCATCTCGGCGTGTCGAGCATAGGGGAATCATGGGGCAGAGCATTCCAATCAGAGACAGTTCTCGGGAAAAATGAATACTTGTAAATGTTAGTGCGTGCAAATATAGGTGTAATGCTACGACTATGTTTATGACGTGAAGCCCTGGTTGAGTCCTGTGTTATGTAATCTGGTGCATGCAATCCTGATCTGGAAAAGTATAAAAGGCGGAAAAAGTTAAGCCGTGCAGTTTTCCTTCGATCGGCCAAAAGTTGGAGGTTCGTATCCTGCAACAGGGCTGACGGCGATTCGCGACATCTGTACCGGTTGTATATAAATCGAGCAGCTAATCGTTGTATTAAAGAGGGAAAGGAGTGCTGCCACGAATTTTGAATGTTTTGGAATTCTGGCTCTGCATTTAAACGCATGTTTCAAGAACCCCCCAAAAAAGTACTGTTTTGCTTAGGGATTAATTGCATATGTTTGTAATACTGCTACGTTAGTCTCTCTTGGTTTCGATATGGGGGGGGGGGGGGGGCTTCTCTGTGATGTGCCATGGCAGTGTGACGTCATGGGAAGACAGCCTTTCGCAATGTATTAGCAGCAGATCTGCCATCTGCTAGTGTTGCACGCAAACAACGATGAGTGCATTGTCCTCAGTGACCCCAAACGCAGTTTGTACAATTAGTTTGCAAACTTGGTGCAACTGAGCTGACTCGTCAAGATAATGTCCATTGTGGCTGGCTTGCTTAGGCTGAGCAAGAAACCTTTTAAACTCAAAGAAAATATTTCATATGTCTTGGCAGACTCTGGTGCGTAGAGTGTTGGCACTGCATACCAAGGAAATGATGCCTCGAAATCATGTCAGCATTCCTGTAAGCCACTCAGAGGTAGAAATTTAGACGTGGTGTTTTAGTTGTGCACAAGTCAACAACAAACACATAGCTTCTAGAATTATCAAAAATGGTGTCTTAAAGGGGCCCCGAAACACTTTTTCAAGTAACAATTTAATGTATTCTAAAAGAGCTTATCGCGGAACGAATTCAATGCAGCAAAAATTTTAAGAATCCATCCAGTATGAACGTAGTTACCAAGACTTGTTGGACGCTGCAATTGAATTCTCTCTGCTCTTGTCCGGACATAAGCGCTGTAAGCTAAGCAGGGGCGAAGAAAGTACGTCAACGGCTGCCTCATCACCCTGACCACTTTTTCGTTAGTTTTTTTTTTTTTTTTCTGAATACGCCACTTTTTCATTGTGCTCACGCGTGGACAAGTCACGGCGATCCCTGTAACGACCAAGTGCGCCGTGTTCAAATAGATGGCCTTCTATGAGTGATTTTGTAGTGTCTTCCGTCATTTATAGAGAGAGGGAAAGCGATCTTTAGCTTACTTTGACGATTTCTTTTGAATTCTAGGCTGTGTGCTGCGCTTTAATACTTTCTTCGCATGTTGCAGGGCCCCTTTAAAGCGCCGGTAAACAGGCTCTAACCTTATTTTTACACACCTCAATCAAGCTCACTAATTTGTACACTAACCAGACCACTGTGATCACATTTGCCAATTATAATACTGTACAGACTTCAATTCTAAGAACAATTCCTGCACCTGTTTGCTTCTGACCTATCACCCTCGTACGTGTAGTGACATAAGCTTGACCATGGGCAACTCGATGTACCACTGTGCTTGTGCATTAGGCCCTTTGCCCTTCAAAGCGGCGCCTTGGCTTTACAGTTTACATTTTTATTTTCTTGTGCTGCCCTCGGCCATTTTATTCAGTCCGAAACCATTGAGAGACTTGGCATTGCCAGAACAAAAACCTCCCGAGATAAAGATATCTTGCTACTTTAACGCTGGGAAACGGTGCTCCTCAAATTGTGCTTTCCCGCATCGCTGTGACACGCTCATGTCAGGGATGCCCAGCTTGGTTATTACCTGCGTACGGATGACATATCGCCGACGTCGTGTCGTATAGCCGAAGTTTGCGGTGTCACTACGACGGGCTACACCTGCCTCTACCTATGTTGAGGCCATGCGAAAATTTGAAACCAGCTAAACAGATGCTTTAATTAGACCCTTCTAATTTGTTATTTTACCGTGTATTGCAATATTTTTGTGGCAGCTTGTTCACATAGGCTCTCATAATAATTTTTGGATTTCGGGGCTGGCAACTAAAAACTTCGTCCTCGCGTTTTTCTGCTGCAATGTGTTGCTCCGGGTTTGTTAGTCATGGCACGACACATGGTTTGCTGCAGCATGCGACAAATAATTACAGGGCCCTCATTATCGACCAGTTTCAGTTTGGGAGAGCTCCAAACACTGGGTGCAACTATTGCCACCTAGCGTATGCAGCTCTTGATTATGTCTGCAAACATATCTGTGACACACTTTTGCACCATATGCATCAAGCATTAGTTTCGAATAGGATAGGAATAGGGACTGCGGTGTCGCCAAGCACAAAACTTTCAGAGCGTGCGCCATGGCCATGCACTCATCACCAGTCGTTGAAAAGTATAAACTGCCAGAACAAACGCGGCAAAAAAAATGGCTGCTATGATGTCATCATAGCTTGCTTTGACTGCAGGGTAGTGACGGGAGGGAAGTAGGTGGTCCCCAAAGGGTCCCCTTTGAGCGTGTCAGTGGCACAGTGGAGTTGAGGGCTCTGAAAACTTCAGAATTAATTTAAGATACCTTCCAAGCTACATTCGCTATTCACATTTTGCAGATGATATATGAATGTTGACAGGAATTGACCCCACAGGCTATCTCGGCCGCGAAATTTGGTCAGCACCCCTTTAATGGTGGAGTTGCGCACATCTGACAAATAAATATTACTACTCACAATGTGGTCCTCCTTGCTGTGCAGGGAGGAAGAGTAAGGAGTGGACGTCTTATCTGCTGCGGACTCGCAGGTTTTTGTTTGTGCTGACATGAGGAGATGGGGGCACATTCAACGCTCGTTAAACTGAAAGGCCTAAAGAGGCGCACGTCATTGAGTTTGTCTATTTCGTGGTGCGCCCGAGGCTTGTAGTGCCGTCATGTTCGGCATTGTTGGTTGTGACTGCATTCTGAACTCGATGCACATGTTTACTTCAAATGTATAAAAAAAATCTGGAGTTGGTTTTGGGGCCTTCTGAGCCCATTACTGGCTGGGAATTGAATCTCACTTGAGGATCTCACTGGCCACTCTGATGGGCCAAATGGAGCATCGCGTCAGTGTTTTCTTTAGTCTGCACGTTTACTTTTATACTTGACAGCTGCAGTTAAGACTAGTTTGGCCAATTTGGGACATTGTGCCTTTTCGTTCATTATTGTGGCCCCCATTATGCATTAATTTCAATGTGTCATAAATTTTGATCTTGTAAATCCAGCACGTGCAGTTGGTGTGTGCGTGCTTATCAGTTGTGCCCGTTGTATTCATTCTGCAAAATGTGGTGATATTGTGCAAGAAAATTATACAAATCCAGGTATTGACACTTGTGGACACTGGTGCACCCTCATCTAAATTTTTCGGGAAAACTACAGCAGCTGCTGCTGCTACTTAACTTCATAGGCCACGCTGTAGCAATTGTCAGTCGTGCCCTTTTGTGTGAGCTCTGTGGCATTGGCCCAATAACCAGCTTTCCCCAATTTTTCTTTCAGTCTTAAGACTATCGGTAGTAAAAGGACACTTGAGTGTGTGCTTTGAGAAGTTACTTCGTGCATAAAGCTCTATGCAGGTGACATCTGCAGTGTGAAAGCCACAATATTTGTCAATGAATGCTTTTAGGTAAATCATCCTTATTGAAAACAACCAAAGTCAAGGTGTTGGTTGTACATTGTTGAACTTCTCAGCTTGTCTCTCGGACACATTTGACCATACACAAAAGCAGCTTAAGTGTGAAATTCAGCTTTTATTCGAGCTGAAATTCGTTTTGCAAAAGATGATGCTCGGAGCAAGTATTTTTGTGTGCGTGTGTGTGTATTTAATAAGAATCACTTGACGTGTGCATTTTGTTTAAAATGCCAAAGTTGTTTTCTGGCCACCTTCCGATTTTTCTGTACTTTTGCAGCTACAACGCCAAGAGGCGTCACTGGCGCCGTACCAAACTGAAGCTGTAAGGTGGTGCCTGGTGCAGCCAAGTGTCTCGTGGGGGACTGTGATCCGTATTCTCATCGTGCGTCACTCTCATCGCAACTGTGATGGTCTTGGCTGGAATTAAAGTGCTTGAACTTTGCTCATCGCAACCGCTGTTTTTTTTATCTGTGTGATATATTCATTGGGCACATCCTGCAACCATGCTAAAGCTGCTTGAACACAGTAGTTGACACTCGTTCACACCTGTAGTTAGCATGGTTGTGCACCAAGTTGCGAGTTGCGCTTTGGTTGCAGAGTGACTGTTTCGTCTCAGTCACTTGCTGCTAGATTTTCTTTGTACCACTGCATTTGCAAATTTGATCCAGTAAGATGCATGGGAACCAAATGTCAGCTTAACTTACCAGGCAGTTGGTGAATTTTGGGTGGTTACAGGTATAGGTCGTGCACACAGCGAGGACATCGATCACTTTGAGTCTTTCTTTTTGGCCACAAGTTGCAAAAGATTGTGCAATCATTGCAAGTCACACTGTAATGAAGCCTTTACATTGCTAGGCTGCTGGCTCATAAGCCAAAAATTTAGCCTCATCTGCAGCACTCATATTTTATCACTGAAAGAATTGCACTACAGTTGTGTAGAAAACGAAGTTTGGGAGGAGACAAGAACTGAAGTGAACACTAGCGCAAACTATCAACTGAAATTCAATGAAAAAAGTCGCAGCATATCCACAGAGTGAATGATGATGAGTGGGGCAAAGCTTCGGGGGGTTTCGGTAAGCCGGGACTCCTCTGTACGTCTTTCAGCACCTGCTGAGTGAGTCATATAGCTAGGCGGTCGCGTACCAAGATACAAGCATGTACAAACTCGCGGCTTTTGGAGCTTTGGCCCTAAAAAACTTGGAAGAAGGCTTCCAGGTAAGAGGAAAGTCTGTTTACGATGAGGGTGAGATGCGACAATCTTGCTGAACTGTCTTGAGGTGCTACAAGTGGGATGATTGCGAGATGTAGCGCTGATTCAAAGTTCTTATGTAAGCTGATTCAATTGAATCAGCTTACTGATTCAGCTTTTTATTGTCCCACTATACCTTGTTTCTGATGAATTCGATTTCATGAAAAACCAACTAGTCCAATACCTGACCTCGCTCACGCATATTTAAATGGAGGCAAAACGCTAGGGGCTTGGGTATGGAAAATGTGCCACGCCCTACAGGTGGTGCGACAGTTCACTAGATCAATGTGCCACAAGTGGTGACTTGTGGTCACTTGAGTTGCAACTGGTGCGCTACGACTCTGTCGGCTAAGCCTGTGTTGTAAGCAATCGTGTGCGCAAAGGCTGCAGGTTTCCTAAAACATGTAGGTTTTTTGGAAGTTAGTCGTGCATGATTTTTTGGGGGCTTAAAATAAGAGAAAGGATATACTAGGTTTACAGAATTGTTTTCGATGTGATGTTAGCACAGATACATGACAGCATTTTTGAATGGCGATCATCTGGCTGGCGAGCGTAAAGCTTGAAGCATCGGCAGTCGCCACTGATGTTTGTAAACATTCATTTCTTGTCATTTTACTCGCTTATTGATTACAAAGAAGGAGTTTGTGTCTGACATATCTAAGACAACCGCTTCATGTGCGCATTTAAAATGTACGGTCACAGTACTGCACCTGTTTCATTTAGTAATTTGTCCATTGCCCAAAGTTTTCTGTGCAGTATTTCAGCTCTAATGATTGATTGATATGTGGGGTTTAACATCCCAAAACCACTATATGATTATGAGAGCCGCCGTAGTGGAGGGCTCCAAAATTTCGACCACCCTGGGGTTCTTTAATGTGCACCCAAATCTGAGCACACGGGCCTACAACATTTCCGCCTCCATCGGAAATGCAGCCACCGCAGCCGGGATTCGAACCCGCACCCTGCGGGTCAGTAGCCGAGTACCTTAGCCACTAGACCACCGCGGCGGGGCAGTATTTCAGCTCTGTAGACGTTACTTCGGCTATGTGAGTCCATGAGTACCTTTAACTTTGTTCACGTGCCAGCTTTGCCCATGATATTTCGGCTCGCATGCACGGTGCTGTTAAGAGCAACAGCCAAGACATGGGCAGCAGTTCATGACGCATTGTGCCTGGACTGCGCCTCTAAACTGCTGCAATACAGTGAAAAAAGAGCATCAACTGAAGGAGAATGGAAGCATCTGTGCACAGTTATAGTTATTGGCACAGTTCACGACACAGCAACCCGTATGTGACATGAAGCTCCGCTAGTAACCAAATACAGCTCGGCTCTTGGGCTGCATGGAGTGTGCAGATTTATGTTGTCCCACACAATGGCACCACAGGCCCAATGCACATTTCCTATTGTGCACTTTTAGTGCATGCTAAAAAAACCCAAGTGGTTGAAATGATTGGAAGCCTTGCACTGCGGCTTATAATCGCATCGTTCTGGCACGTAAAATCTCAGCTTTTGAAATTGTGTATGCTGTGTGGAAATCTGGCTTGTTGCACCCCGTCCGTAGGTAATGCAAGGGCGGCGGAGGTTTCACTAGACACGGTATATGCCGCGGGGTCAGCCCTGTGACGAGACAGCTACGCAACGACCATGATTCTGGGCGGCAACAATTGGCCAGTCTCCGTCCTTCGTGGCAGCCAAGGCGTATCTTCGCGGGCATCATGCAGGCTGGCCCTTTTAAGAGCATAAGTGGGCCATGCGCATTGCTACTGCATAACACGTGGCGCTCTCTCTTTATAGCAGGTGACTTGATCTCTCTTGATCACAAATGTATCAAGCTAAGTTTTGGAAGAGCAGTGAAAGTGGGACGGAGACAAGATGAGCAACTACAGGAAAATTTTTATTCAGAAGGGCAAATAGAAATAGCTACTAAACAAATTGAGAATGTAATCACTGAGGATAATAAAACAGTGTGGACATGCACGAATCTACTTAGACTGTTTGAGCTAGAGCTTGCTTAGGCACATGACAAGTCACCCCGGAAAAGAAGACACAAACCCAAGAGTGAGTGAAATGAGGAAGTTAAGAGAGCCATAGCAAAATGTCGGGAAGCCTCTAGGGAACACAGCCATGCTAAGCAGCGGGGTGAACCGACAGATGACGTTGAAAGAAAATGGGACATCTTTCCTAAGCTGTAAAAGGGAAGCGTCCCTCCTGATCAATAAAAAGATTAGAAGAAAGGGAGCTCAGAGGCTGGCAGAACTACATAAAAAGGATAGAAAGGCAGCTGCGAAATTTTGGAACCATCTAAACTCCCTAAGAAATGAGACAAGCATAGAACAGAGGTTTATAACTACAGCTCAAAGTGCTAGGCTAGAAGGGGACGAAGCTATTGAATTTATAAGAACTAGGGTGACAGAAAAATTTCAATGAAGAAGTGCCCTATTTACCACAATAGACAAGAATGGATCAAGTGGCGCAATGGCTCTATTTGCACAACGAGAGTGGGAAAGGACTGAGAAGAGGGTTCCTAGTAGTACATCAACAGATGGCATTCCAATTATGCTGATAAAGACATCGGGTCAGAAGTCTAAGCAGACTTTGAGAGAGGCAGTGAGCAAAACAATAATCAATAGTGAAGTCCCCAATGAACTGAAACTTAGCAGGATGAGCATGATCTATAAAGAAAAGGGGGACAAAGCTAACATAAACAACTACCGTCCTATAGCAGTGACATCAGTGGTCTACAGGCTGGCGATGCAGATTATAAAGGAAAGACTGCAGGCATGGATAGACGATGAGGGTGTGCTGGGAGAACTGCAGAATGGGGAAACACAGGAGGTTGGAAGACCATCTGTTCTCACTGATGCAGTGCATCGAAATAGCAGAAAAGAAACACAGTCCTCTGTGGCTACATTTTTGGATATCAAGGGAGCGTACAATAGCGTGGTTCAAGAGGACTTGTGGGGAATACTAGACACACCTGGTGTGGTATCTGTAGTCACTAATCTTTTAAAGGATATCTATAAAAGTAACAAGGTAGTTATAAAGCAGGTATCCAAGCCCACAGAGGTAAAACGGGGGCATAGGCAGGCGTGTCCTATGTCGCCCTTGTTAATCATGAGATACCTACAAGGATTAGACTACAAATTAGAGAGAAGTGTATTTGGCTTCAATCTCTCTTTTGTCAAACAAGGAAAACTCAAACTGAACAGGCACTACCAGCATTGATGTACGCAGATGATATAGTGCTAATGGCCGACAAAAGGAAGACTTGCAGAGATTGATGGATGATGGAGGTTAGATTTCAGATTTAGTAAGGAAAAATCAGCAGTCATGATACCTAATGATAATGAAGGTAGTGAGCTTAGGATACAGGAGGTCACGCTAGAGATAACCGATAAATGCAAATATCTGGGCGTATGGATAAGCAATGGGACCGAGTACCTAAGGGAACACGAAATATACATAACGACTAAAGGTAACAAGAATGCAGCAATGATAAAAAATAGGGCACTGTGGAATTATAATAGGCATGATGTTGTGAAAGGAATATGGAAAGGGGTCATGGTTCCTGGTCTGACGTTCGTGCATGAGATTAAAAGTTGAAGCAATATTAGAAATTAAGCATTGTGGAATAGGTAGGCTTGCTTTAGGAGCTCACGGGAATGCACTAAATCAGGGAGTACAAGGTGATATGGGATGAACATCGTTTGAGGGCAGGGAAGCTAGCAGCAAGATAAAATTTGAAAAGCGATTGAGAGAAATGATGAGGGAGGAGCGTTGGGCTAGGAAGGTATTCAGCTACTTGTACATGAAGAATGTCGATACAAAGTGGCGGTAGAAAACCAGAAAATTTACGGGTAAATACTTAGAAAACAGCAGGGGGCTAAACCAGAAAGAATTATCGGTCAAGAATGTGAAGGAAGCTGAGACCGATATGTGGATAATTGGCATGAATGCAAATATCTGGGCATATGGATAAGCAATGGGACCGAGTACCTAAGGGAACACGAAATATACGTAACGACTAAAGGTAACAAGAATGCAGCAATGATAAAAAATAGGGCACTGTGGAATTACAATAGGCATGATGTTGTGAAAGGAATATGGAAAGGGGTCATGGTTCCTGGTCTGACGTTCGTCAATGTGGTCTTGTGCATGAGATCAAAAGTCGAAGCAATATTAGAAATTAAGCATTGTGGAATA